CTTGGCGGGAAGCCTGCTTCTCCCTCTCCCACTCCCCCTGCTTGTGTTCCTGCTCTCGCTATCTCTCTCTCTGTCAAATAAATAAATAAATAAAATCTTTAAAAAAAGAGAGAGAGATCTTCAATTCACCATCCTGGAAGTTGAGCCTCCCATAGGGCCTTGCCTCAGTTTACCCAGGAGGACATGTCCCATCTAGCCTCATTCCCTACCCTTGCAGCCAAAGTCCATTCACCCAGGAGCACCTGTCCTCTGCTCTACTTTTTCTGTGAATGGCGGTAGCTGGCCTCCAGGGGCGCTCAAGGGGTGCGGGATGCAGGTCCCGGAGACTCCTGTGCGCCACATTGTGGCCACCTCACCACACAGTCGTAGGAGTGGGGGACACCTGCAGCCCTGCCTGCCCCGCATTCCCTCCCTTGCCTGTGGGTAACAGCCCCATTTTCCTTCGAAGAACTACCTCCACTTCACTCTGATCATCTGGGGCTGACCCACCCCCCCCTAGACCGCAGGTGTGGCCACGTGACCCAGGCTGGGCCACTCTGAGTGATGCCCTCAGAGGGGACGTGTGACCCCGGCTGGGCCAGCGAGCACCACACTTGGGATCTCTGTGAGAATCCCAGGGAAGGAGAAGCCCTCCTCCGCAGGGACTGCCCAACAGCCGGGAGCCGCTGGTGGCCTTCACTGCCACCATCTGGGGAAGCCCATCTGGGGCTGGGAGATCATAGATGATCTTTCTTTTCACTTTTTATGATTAAAAACAAATTTTTTTAGGGTCAACATGGTCACCCACTGCCTAAAGGCTCAGAGCTGGGAGGGGAGCCTGGACTGTTGCGGGCCTGCCGGGCAGGCCTTCATGAACTCCTCTCTCTGCCCACCTGGTGCCCTCAGAGCCAGCCTCTTCCCTGGCCTGGACCTTGGATCTCAGCCCACCAGGTGGCCCTCTAGGGCCCTGGATGCTGGAGCCTCTGCTGACCCCTCCATTATCACCCCTGACTTCACTCCGACCAGACACTAGCAATCACAGCTACACCATTTGCCACCTTGTGGAACTCTTTCTGCAGCTAGCCTCTGAGTGGCCTCCCTCCCGGTTCCCCTCCCAGCCCCCTGGCCACTCCTCCTCAGTCTCCTGGGCAGGCTCCTCCCCATCTTCCTGACCCCCACAGCTGCAGAGGCCCAGGGCTTGGTCCCTTCTCCATCCACCCAGGCCCCCACTGTCTCCAGTCCGGTGGCTGCCAACTCCCAAATGCACATCTCCCCCCTGGGCCTTAACCCTGAACTCCAGATTCTTCTTTACTCCAGCCATACACCCCCACCTCCCACCCAGCTGTCCATTTCAAACTCAGCACACCCAAAACCAACCCTCTGATTTTCTCCCCCCAGACTTGCCCCTTCCACCATCTTGCACATCTGTTAACAACATCTTCATCCTTCCTGTTGCTTAGACCAAAACCTGGAGGCATCCTCGTTGGAGCCCTCTCTCAACGTCCCGTCCAACAGCAAATTCTGTTGGTTAAACCTGGAAATGAGTCCAGAACGCACGCACTCACCCTCTGGGCCTCTGCGCCTACCCTGGTCCAGCACCATCCTCTCTTGCCTGGACCCTGCAGTGGCCTCATCTCTAGTCTCCCTGCCTCCACTTCTCTCACTACAGCCGATTCTCAGCAGTGTAGCCAGAATGAGCTCCCTAAAGCAGATGGCAGGCCATGTTGTTCCTCTGCTCAGAGCCCTCAAAGAATTCCTTTCTTAGAGTAAAAGTCAAAGTTCTCCCCAAAGCCCACAGGGCCCTGCATGGTCTGGCACCTGCTGTCTCTCTCATCATCCTCATCCCCGCACCTCAGGGCCTTTGCACTTGCTGTGTCCCCTGCTCAGATACCCTCATCCTATGTATCTATATGGCTCCCCCACTCCCTCCCTTCCTTTGAGTTTCTGCTCAGGTATCATCTTCTTGGTGAGGTCTTCCTTGGCCACCCTATATAAAGCAGCCCCTCCTCATTCCCCTCTGCTATTCCCTCCCCTGCTTTATCCTCTCTCTGCAGAACTTGACTATATTTTAATATGCTTACTTGTTTATCAATTGCTCTCTCCCAGAATATCAGCTCCATAAGAGGAGGGATCTTTGGTCTGCTCACTGCTCTATCTCCAGCTTCTAGAATGATGCCCAGCACACAGTGGGCCCTCACTAAATATCTGTTGAACATGTCTCCTGAGCTCTAGTTGTCTCCGAGCAGGTTACAGGCTTTGCATCATTCCTTCCTCTCTTCCTCACCAAAGCGCCTTGAGGAAGGGACTGCCATTTTCGTTTTACAACCAGGCAGGTTGATCACAGGGCCTGCGCCCGAAACCACTGGGCTACTCAGCATCTTGGCCCTATTCTCAAGACTCGAGCTCTCGAAGTGTCTTCCCACTTGCCTGAATTCTGCATGCTGCCAACGACTCAGAGTCAGAGGATGTCCTGTCCCCAAGTCCTGCTCAGTTCTCCTGGCCCCGCCAAAGGCTGTTCCCCAGGCTTTCTGCCACTCAAGCCCCCAAGCCAGCGTCCAGTTCTGCTGACAGAGGTCATTCAGCAAGGGATTCTGGGGGCAGTTTGGAATGCCAAGTCTCTGCCCATCAATATGTTATTAGGCACTAATGGGGCCCCAACTGTTGATTAAACCCAACCCTTGCCCCTTGTCAGCCTTTGCCTGCAAGGACAGTTAATGGCTCTGAGAGAAAACTAAAAATAAGCTGCAAGTCAATGGGAAGGGAATTACCCAGAAACGTCAGTCTGTGCAGCTGTCCCAGCTGAGGAGGGGCCAACAGAAGGAGCGGGACTCTGGGGTCCAGGAGAGGAGAGGAACCAGGTCTCGAGAGGCAGCATCCTGAGCCCCACTTTCTCTCTCCTCAGTATCTGGTCCATTACCACATCCATTGGCACTGTCTTCTCTGTTTCCAGAATCCATCCACTTCCTCATCACCTCCATGGCCACCACCTGGTCCTACCACCACCGTCTCCTTATTGGTGTCCCTGCTTCTGCCTTTTCTCCTCAGATCCTGTCCCTCCTCTGCTTAGAACACTCCCAGGGCTCCCACCTCACCCAGAGAAAAATCCCAAGTCCTTACTTACTGGGACCCACAGGCCCTCTTCCCTCACTCCCAGCACCGCCCCCTCTCTACTCTGCTTCAGCCACACTCAACTCCTTGCTGTTGCTCAAACACTGGGTATGATACAACCTCAGGGCCTTTGCACTTGCAGTTTTCCCCACTTGGAAAGTTCTATTCCCACATCCCTCCCAAGCTCCCAACTTCAGCTCTTTCTTATCAACCAAACATCTCCTCAGAGAGGCCTCCCCGACCCCCTGGGCTACAGGAGACCCCCAGGATCTCTCTATTCATGACTCCATTTTACATCCTGCATATCCACATCTAAAATCACCCTATACATGTGTTTCTTTGATTGTCTGCCCCACCCCCACAGCCAGCGAAAACACAAGCAACAAAAGCAGGTCTTTGAGGCCTATGGGAAGTACTCAAAGGAACTTTTAAATAATTCTTCAAAATGACTGTTCTGCATACTCCAAAAATGTCAAGGTCAGGAAAAACAATGAAAGGCAAGACACTGTTCCATATTAAAGAAAACTCAAAAGACAGAATGACTAAATGCACCGTGTGATCCTGGATTGGCTGTCGGACCAAGATGAGCCATAAAGGACATTACTGGGACAACTGGCAAAACTGGAATAGAGACTGCCTATTAACTAATGATCCTGTATCTGGGTTAACTGTCCTGAATGTGATCATTGTACTGTGTCACGTAAGGGAAAATTCTTGCTCCCAGGAATGTATGCTCAAGTAAACGAGGGGTAAAGAGCCATGATGTCTGCAATTTATTTGCAAATGGTTCAGTAAAATAATCACAGTAGGACAGAGGGAGGAGGAGGAGAAGGGGAGAGGGAGAGAGAGAAAGCACATGCGATAAAATGTTCAAAATTGGGAAATCAAGGTCAAGTGTATGTAAGTGTCTATTAAGCTATTCACACAGCTCTTCTCTCAGTTTGACATTCTTCCAAATTCAAAAAACAACTGAATACTGAACGAACGATCCTGTTCGTGCTAACGGCCTGACAGTCTGGAAAGCCAGGGAACTGACCGCTGGGTCTGTGTCCGGGCCCACACTCGTGCGGACAAACACTCGCAAACGCACACCCCCACGCACGCGCACTCGTATGCCCACGCACACGCGTGCGGGCGCGTGCCCGACAGCACCCACAGGCGCTCACGTGCGCAGCCGCACCTGCGTGCCCCCCACCCCCGCACGGCCACGCCCACCTGTGTGGCCCAGAGCTGCAGCACCATGGCCCGAGCCTGCATGGCCTCCGCCGTGCCTGTCTCCTCCAGGTGCAGCAGGTAACTCTCCAGCCAGCGGCTCCGGTGGGCCCGGGTAGCCAGCCGGGCCGGGGACAGCAGCTTCCACAGGCGACCTTTGACTTGGCACGCGCGGTCCTTATCCCCTATGGGGCCAGAGCACAGAGGGTGGGGGTTATAGATCCCCCCCCGCCCCAGCCCGGGGCCACCCAGCCGGATGTCCCTTGAGGCCAAGGGTCTGCTGGTGGGTGTTACTCCTTGGGGGGGGGGGGGCTGGAGAAAGAGGCTCCAGGGAGGGCCTTTGAATGCTGACCTGTTATTCTCCGTCCTCCCTGCCGCCAGGGGACAGGAGTAAAGGGCCTTTTCGGTTTTATTCGTATCTGTGTGTCCAGCACCTGGCCCACTGTTGGTGCCCCGTCAGTACGCCTTAAGTGAATGGTGCTTCTTACGCAGCAGGGGAAGGAACACGAAACACAGAGCGGCATTCTCCCTTCCCAGGGTCCGATCCCAAAGCAACGCCAGCCCGCGCGCCCTGGGGGACATCTACGAGCAGACTCAGCACAGCGGCATTCAGGAGACACTGGGAAATAACCTAACTGCCATCAAGTGGGGACAGATGGGCCTGGGGTCTCATACTCCACTACCTCCGGGGAAGGCAGGGAAGGTACATGAGGGAGGAGGGCCAGGAAGGGGCCATGGGGAACAGGAGGGGTGGGGTGGCCTCTTCTCAGCCCCACGGGCCTGACAGACAAACTTGGCCCAGCACAGCCGGGAGCCTGAGTTTTCAGAAGACGATGAAAATCCAGATGTTCATATGGACTCTCCCCCTGTTTTTTAAGGTTAGCATCTGAGCAAGAACCGTGCATCACTGTGCAGGCCGCAAAAGCATCTCTGAAGGTCAGCTGTGGCCCTCGGATTGCCAGCTGATATCACCATGAAATAAACACCGGCAGGTCATGCTCTGGAGCACGGCGCCGCGGTGGAAACCGGGTACAGATCCAGATGGGCCCACAAGGGCAGACCGTTGAGGGTGTGAAGCCAGGTGCTTATTATTTATATGGTGTGTTAATGCTACAAGACGGTGCTGTATTTACAAACGTATGTGCAAATAAAAGATTTGGTTCTTCCGAAATCACCCCTTGGAAAAGCGGATGTTGCTTTGGATTGTTACAAGGTTCCCAAGCACTAGAAACTTTGTTATTGCCTGTTTGGAACCACAAAGCAGTGTTTCAGGAAGACCCATCTATCCAATGGTCCTAAACTGGGCTGCATCTTACAGGGCATTTGAAACGGTGGAAATGTAGGCTAGGCTTATATTAAAATACACATATATTTTAAGCATCTTAGTTACATTTTCAAATGATATGCTCTGTATGCTCTTCTTCAACCTCTAGACCCTTTGAGGTGATATCCTTCTCAATTTAAAGCAATGGGCCCAACTCTTCATCAACTACATTATCTTCCTGTGTTTCTTAATTTCGGGGGCACTGGAGAATCACCCAGGAGCTTTGAAATCTCTGGATGCCCAGGTCCCACCACAGAACAATCTTGCCAGAATCTCGGGGGGTGGGACCTGGGCAAGCGGAAAGTTTCAGCAGGTGACTGGAGGGTATAGGAATTGTTGAAGTGCCCCCGGTCGATGCTCATTCTGGATGCTTATAAGAATTATCTGATGAAATGGCTAAAGGAAACAGAGAAATTGAACACGGATTGGGAAATGACTGGCATTCTTTGAGGTCTGACAGCAGAGCTATAAACCTTGAATATCACTGTCAACACAACTTTTCAGGATGACTTTAAAAAGCAATGCAGTATGAAAAGACAACCAGCAGAATGAGGGAAAATATTTGCAAATCATGCATCTGATAAGGGTCTAGTATCCAAAATATATAAAGAACTCCAACGATTCAACAACAACAAAAATCCACCCCACCTCTCAACTCCTCAGTTTTCACACTTGTAAACTGGGATAACGAATTCCCATGCAAAGGGTTATGCAGGAATTGAATGTGTTAACCTATAAAGCAGAGAGAGCAATGCCAGGCATAGACAGGCCTAGTAAACAGTAGCTATATTATTAAATAAAGCTACTGAATGTTAGCAAATTGTTAGTCCCTGGAGAATATATTCACATACTCTTTCTATAATTAGGAAATAATTTGTGAAATAAAGAACACAGAGTTCGCAGCCAGGGAGACCCAGGTAGAAATCCTAGCTCTGTTCCTTCTTAGAAAGATGATCTTGGGGGCGCCTGGGTGGCTCTGTCGTTAAGCGGCTGCCTTCGGCTCAAGTCATGATCCCAGAGTCCTGGGATTGAGCCCCGCATTGGGCTCCCTGCTCAGCGGGAAGCCTGCTTCTCCCTCTCCCACTCCTCCTGCTTGTGTTCCTGCTTTCGCTGTCTCTGTCTCTGTCAAATAAATAAATAAAATCTTAAAAAAAAAGAAAGATGATCTTGTGCAAATAATTTGGATCTCCGAGCCTCAGTTTCCCCATCTGTAAAATGGAGGCAACCTAGCTCATGGGATCATGAGTGCTGTGATTCAGAACTGCTAGGCACTAGTTTCAAATCCCAGACCTCCCATGCTGTGTGGCCTTGGCTGAGGCCCTGTCTACCTCTGGGCCTCAGTCTCCCCATCTGTAAAACGAGGGGCTCAGACTACAGTAGCTCTCAGGTTTTTCCTCGGAAGCCCATCTGCTCCCTAGGAACCTGGGGGCACAGTCCAGAGAGGGACATATCTTTAAAGTCTTATGTTTTCCCTTTGAGATGTATTAGACTTTTGCATTAGACTCTGTGCCTTTAAAGTAAGAGTGCCTTTCCCCCCAAGAAATATTCAAAGAAAAGAGGCCCCTCCCAAATAATCCAGTAAAATGAACATTCCAGCATATTTAGCTCGGGGCTCTAATTAACTGCCCCCAATTCCCTCCTGCATGAGAAGCACCAGACTCAGTGATCTAAGGGTCCCCCAAACGGTCAATTTTCTTTTAAAATATGTTTGTATTTTTAATAGTGCAGGGGGGAATAATGCATGCACCTGGTATAAAAAAAAAAAGAAGAAAAAGAAAGCAAGCTGCTCTAAGAGTGCAAATGGGCATCATCATCTCATCTCAGCCTCCCGAGAAGTAAAAATCTATACATGTTCCCACATTCTTACAAAACAGGGATGTTAACAAAACTTATTTTGGTGCTCTTTTCACAATATATATGTCATTATGCTGTACGCCTCAAACTTGTACAGTGTCATGTGTCAATCATAGCTCAGTAAAATGGGAAAAAAATTAAAATAAAAAACCTCACAATATACCCACTCTTCTACACGTTTTTCATAATAGATTTCATCCTATAACAGTATATCCCGTTCTGCTTTAAGTTGCACAGTTTTCCTCTATGTGAATGCATAATTTACTCCATCAGTCCCTGCTGGGGAACATTTAGGTTGTTTGCTGCATTTGCTATTATGAGCAATGGGGCAATGAATATCTTTGTGCACCTCTAGACATGAGCTAGGATAATTCCTAGTAGTGGAAGTTCAGGATCAAAGGAATGAGCCTTTCTGTTTTGATAGGTTCTGCCAAATCACGCTTCCAAAGAGGCCGCACTCTTCACAAGCCCAACAAGATCTGGGGAGCTTTGTCCACCAGCCTCGAGCCCAAAGATGAGAAACCTTCCCCGACATTGCCACCTGCTGCCCGCACTGGAAAATGCAGCCTTCCTCTCCAGGGCCCAGAGTTGCTCCCTGAATGACCCAGGGTCCCTGGTAGCCTCCGTATGGAGGAAAGAGCAATGGAGAAACCACTCTTTCCTGGAGAAGCAACTGGTGCTGGGATGTGTCAGGTGCCTTGTCAGGTGTTTTACACACAGGATTTTGCAATCAGACCAAGTTTTCATTTTGCTGGCTCTGTGACCTCCCAGCTGTGTGTCCCTGACAAATGACTTCGCCTCTCTGAGCCTCAGTTTCCCTACTTGCAAAATGGGTATAATAATGCCAACCTGTTAGCCTTGATGGCAGGATTCAATGATACAAGGAGTTGTTTCTAAAAGGATGCCAAGAGGCAACTCACAGAGAGGAAAAGCAAAGGGCTGGTGAAACACGAAAAGCTGTTTCATCACAGTGGTCAGGGAAATGCCCATAAAGCCAGATGCCCTTTTTTTGCCCATCAGATTGGTGAGGCTTTAAAGGCTGATAACTGCTTGTTGACAAGGTTGTGGGGAAATGCAAGTTAAAACAACAAGTTACCCGCCTCTGCCCATCAGATTGGCAAACAAATAGAAAGACTGATAACATCTGGTGGGGAATGAGCAGACTCCCTCCCTTCGGGCAGGCCTATGAATTGCTCCATGGTTTTGGAAATGATGTGGCAGCAGGGAACAAGAATTTTAATGTGTATGCCCTTCGAGGTGGCAAACCCACTTCCAGGAAACTGTCAGAGAGGAATAAAATCACCAGATGGTAGAGAAGATACAAGTACAATGAAACACTATACTAACCATACACACACAAACAAGGAAACAATTATAAATATCCACTGGAGGGGGAAGGCTGCCTAAATACTGGCAAGCAAGAGCTGCA